GAAGCAATGGGCTTAAATTGCAGCAAGGAAAGTTTAGGTTGGATATTAGGAAAAAATTCCTGTCATGGTGGTTAAATACTGGAATAATTGCCTAGGGAGGTTATGGAATCTCTCTCTCTGGAGATATTTAAGAGCAGGTTAGACAGACACTTGTCAGGGATGATCTAGACAGTACTTGGTCCTGCCATGAGGGCTGGCGACTGGACTTGATGACCTCGAGGTCCCTTCCAGTTCTACGAATCTATGAAATAGCCTATACATATTTTATGAATGAGGTGTTTTATAAGGATGTTAAGTATCAGGTAATTGACTAATAGAATAGTCGATACATTTTGCATCGACTATTCGATTAGTCAATAGGATCGCCTCCGCCTTTGAAGTGTAGCAACAGTCCTAGGGCTGTTGCTACACTTCAAAGGCAAAAGCGCCGCATGGAGCCCAGGGTCTGGCCCCAGGCTTCAAGTGGCACTGCCGCTTTGAAGTACCCCGTTTCCCCCCTTTGTTGCCTCTATCCAATAGAAGCAGCAAGGGGGGGGGAAGCAACTAGGAGACTATCCTGTTGACTTTCTGATAAGCATTTGCTTATCAGATAGTCAACTAGTCCTTCACATCCCTAGTGTTTTATGCAAATATCTCAAGACCTTCATTTAATATGTCTATATGATGCATATTCTGTATTAATGAAATCTCTGGCCACGTGCAAACATCGTTAAAAACAATAGTGAACAGTTTTAAAGATGTCAAGTTTATAGCATCTTTTCTCTGTATAGCTTTTGAATGAATGTGTCTGACTGTCCATTACACAATCAGTTTTCCCCAATAAATCATAGTGAAAAAAGGCAGCATTATTATTTTTATAGCACTGGTGACAGAGGTCCCAGGTGGGACTAGGATCCCATTGTGTTGACACTATAGAAACAGAACTGAAAGCGTGGTTTCTATCCCAAATAGTTTACCATCTAAGAAACATTTTTTACTTCCTGGAAAAGGTTGTTTATCATGTTTTCTTTGAATAAATTTGGTGCTTGTGAAAAATGTCAGTTTGACAGCCCTGGAGACTGCATTACTGTTATCCACTGGACTGAAGCAGCAGCTGTTCAAGCCTCTTCACACAGCTCTGCTGTGAAAACCATTGGAAATATGTTATTTATTTTTATGACTGTCTTGTGTGTCTCTGTTTACTTGATTAGCTTTGCACTGATGGCCACCAAGGATCAAAGAGTTAATTTTATCCTGGTTTTACTTGTCTACAGAAAAGCAGACACTGGCCTTAGATAACCCCAGTCACCAGGACTTAAGGCTGTGGTTCTCAACTAGGGGTCCATGGTGACTTTTTCGGCAGTCCACAGGAACATTGTCCAAAGTCCACGAAAAAATTTTGATTGGCCTGGTGGCCTGTGGACTGAAACGAGTTGAGTTGTCTATGCCTGACAACATTGGGGCTTCAGGGGGAATGACTGCCACAAAGGACTTTTGGAACTGTTCAAAAACTGAGCCCCAGAAGGCAAAGGGGAAGAGACCGTGTCTGGAGGAAGCCAAATGTATTCCATTCCCATCTTTGGGTAGTCCTTTTGTTGTTTTAAACCTTTTCTGACTGACTGCTATTTTCCTACAAATAAACAAACAGTATTTTGATTTGAAGAAGCTTTCCTGAGATCCTGCAGTTGCTGAAGGGAAGTCTCTTGTGGTAGCCGGGAGACCTTGTCTGAAAGTGAGTGATTTGTGGGAACCTGCCCAAAGAGACGTGCAGGTGCTGTGTCTATCACTTGAAATGGGTGGTGAGCCAATCAGAAGCCATAAAGAAGCTGCCTATCAGACCTTGCAGGAGGACTTTCTGTTCACAGTGGGTAAGTGAAGTATTAGGTAGTTATATTTGCTGCTGAGTGGCAACATGGAGGTGTCTCTACTTAGCAATTCAAGTTCAAGACCTGTTGGTCCTTATAGGTAGCCAAATTGGACAGAGACAGATGAAAAAAATGCAGTTAATCCTGTAACTGTAGCACGAAGCAACAAGTAGCAATCCTGACATGACGAAACCCCCTCTGAAAAAGAGAACTCATTTGCCAAACAGACTGAGAATGGGCTTCTGATTAGACTACTTTCAGAGTAGGTGGCTTGCATGATGTGTATAATTGGTCAGACTGACCAAAATCTTTGTTTACAAAAGCCACAGACCAGACTTTAAATGATAGTGACTATTGGTGATGACTCACCTAGAACTGGATTCGAACTAATACACTAATTAGTTATGAAACTCTCTTTGGCCCATGGCTCCAGCCATCCGAACCTGTCAGTGGAAACAGTCTTACAAAGTGGCCTGGGAGTCTGAATGCCTAAGAAACCCATTGGTTAATTTAAAAAAAAGAAACCTAATTTGAAAAAAAAAATGGGAATTTTACCACTATTAGAGCCACCAGGAAAAAAGTATATGCAAAACTTGTAATTTGTAAAGTATCAAAGGTGTGATTAGCAAAGTCTTTTGTTCAAATTCTTTATACTCCTTGCAGTAATGAAAACTGGGTCATGGAGCTTCTTTGTAAGTTTAAAGTAAATGCTCTTCTCAAGCAGTTTCTAATTCTGTGACACAAGGAGCGTTCAGCCTTGATAATGGCAATATTATAGCCGTACACATATATCACCCAGAACATTCATACCAGTGCCAAAAGAAAAACTAATAATCCTGCAAATGATTCTGAACAGTTTCATGCAAGAGACCTAAAAGAAATCCACTGCCCAGTCGCCGCACTTTAACCCTGCTTTCTGCTTTCTGAATTCCTCCTGACATTTGGCTCTTTAGTTCACCAGAACCACAACAAAGAACAGCGCTGAGTTTCCACACAGACTATTTTCTCTCTCTCTCTCTTCTCTGATCATCTCACAAAGGTATTATTGTTTCTGGCTCACTGGGACTCCATGCACCTGAGGCAGATCAAAGGCACTTTATAATACCAGCCTGACCACACAGGTCTCTCTCCCACTGCATTAAATTAAACCCGATGATTAATCTCTATTGCCCTGAGGGTCCCTCAGTACAAAGAAGCAAGAGAGAGAAAATATATATGTCTAACAAAACATGAGTATAATAAACTTTCATTTTATAGCCCTAATTTAAAAAAGGTACAGCTAATTTCAACCAACTGCAGCTGCATATACGTCTCATTAAAAACACACACACAGTTGCCCTATGTCTTTTATATTTACTTAGTACAATATAAGCAGATAGAGATAAAGATCACTTAAACCAAAGGCCTTCCATAGATTTGTTCCAGAACAGTTTTGAATTTGCTCGTTGTCTGTTGATTGGAATTTGTGGTGCCTTTAAAAATGAAACAAATGTAAAAACACACACTAGCAAACCTTTAAGCCCACCCCCCTCCAAAAACAAAACAAAACAAAACGGGAGAAGGGGGGAAATACTTAATAAATGCTGAGTTGAATGAAAAAAAAACCCAACAGTTTAAATTTCTTTAAGAACCACAGAAAATGCTTCTCTCCTAGTTGGGGCTCAAACCATTAAGAGTCTTAAACTGCTACCTCGCTTTCCTCGAGGCGTATGGGGGGACTATACAGAGACTGTACTCACAGAGCGGGGTACTAATCAATGCCAATTACAACTTGTTGGCACTAAAAAATTCTACTGCTTTAAGGATATTGCTATGACAAACCCGCTCCCTGTACCCCACCTCTGGTGTGGATGCATTTATACCAGTATACAAATTTGGGAAGCAAAAGAAGCTTTATTTTGGCACTTTGATATCAATGTAACCATCTCTCAAGACATATACCTATATAACTATAGCAGTCAATAAAAAAAACAAAACAAAACAACACCCTGGCCAACACAGTCATCCCAGAATAGCTTTTCAGGTGTAGACCAGGGCTAAGGATGGTAGAATTTTAGGCCTAAAATCCTGATTTAACAAGAAGTTTAAACATATGCTTAAGTACATAATTAAATCCCACTGACAAAGTATAAGATTAATGCTTTGGCTTCATAGGACAGGATTACTGATATGCTGAAAATTAAGCTCATACTTAAGTCTTTTGCTGAACTGTGGCATGTCTGGCAAGGTCATTGAGCTATTAACATGGCCTCTACCCATGAATACACAGCATGACGACAAGATACAGTCACTTCTATTAAGTTTAGTAAAGACGTAATTTAAGTAGCTCCCTCTTTTCACGATCTGAGATGCCTTTCCTTGAGAGCAAAACCTCTACCCACTCCCGCCCCAATTTGCTCACTTGGGAAAAATCCAAGTTATAATCAGTCTAAATTTAAGAGCATAATGAGTTTTAAATAAAAAATACGGCAGAAAAGGGTACTTATCTAAATGGAATGCTTTCAGACTCATACATTTTAATTAGGTATAAATTTCCAAAGCAGACACTAAATTTTAATTGCAAGCTAAGGAAAAGCTTTTTCGTTAATTCACTGGGAAAAATTAACAAAGCAAAAATTGCTTATCAGGGTTTTTTTCAAGTCATCAGACTTATCATAATTCTATATAGATCACTGCAGCTCTCAGAGGGAGATGGATTTATATTGATTGAGTGATGAGGTGGGGGAGAAGGGCTGCTGGAGAACACACACTACTTCTCTGAAGACGCTACTTAGGAACACATTAGTGACATGTTTGTCATGGATAACTCAAATTCAGAGTCTTCGGCTCCGATTTCATGCTGCTCTCTTTAAGCTTCTGTAGCATTGTGTTCGACTTTGCTTCTGCACTTCATGTCAGTTTTTTTCTTCCAGTATTGATTTCCACTACTATGAAAGCTCCTGGTTGCTAGCAAATGCATAATGTGTGATTAATATCTGAAGGGAGGAATAAACACACACACACACACACACACACACACACACACACACACACACACACACACACACACACTATGGTAACACAAAAGAGGGTGAAATGGGGGGAAAAAGTGTAATGTCTCTTCAGAGACATTAGCTATTATACAAAACTGGCATCATGACTATGTATCCAACCTACCCCCATGTGACAGGAAGATGTTCCACAGATCAGAGCTAGTCGGGATGTAATTGGCTGATTTTCACAGGGCAGATTATGTCCTTTCACATCTGCTCCAATTACTCCTTTAAAAAAAAAAAAAAACCAATTTACCTTAAAAAATAACCCAATCTTCCATAAAACAGAGTTCTTTACCATTTAAATTGTTGCAAAGGATCCCATTCTATACATAGGTCAGACCAGTTTCACCATCAGAAAGTCTATTCCAGGCTGGTGTCTGTGGATACTGTTTCATTGACAAGATAAGGATGCACTCTTGTTTCCATTCATAGGGCATTACGCATTTATGCTACTCTATACACAATATTATTTTGTTTATATTTCAGCAGCGCCTGAAGACCTCAACAGTAATCCTGGCCCCATTGTACCAGGCATCAAACTAATGAGTAGAAAAAGACAGCCCCGTACTGATGAGTTTACAGTTAAAACAGTCTAAATAGAGAAAAGTTATGGGGGGAGGAAATATTAGGAAAAGCAGCAATGGGCTTAAACTTCAGCAAGGGAGGTTTAGGTTGGACATTAGGAAAAACTTCCTAACTGTCAGGGTGGTTAAACACAGGAAAAATTGCCTAGGGATGTTGTAGAATCTCCATCGCTGGAGATATTTAAGAGCAGGTTAGACAGACATCTATCAGGAATTATCTAGATGGTGCTTGGTCCTGCCGCGAGGGCAGGGGACTGGACTTGATGATCTCTCAAAGTCCCTTCCAGTTCTAGTATTCTATGCTTCTAAGATTCCCATTATCCTTATTTTACAGATGAAGAGCTGAATTGCAAAGAGACTAAGGGCACGACTACACTGCCGGGCTAAACTTGAAATAAGCTTCGCAACTTGAGCTACGCTAATTGAGTAGCTTAAGTTAAAATAGCTTATTTTGACTTTTGGCACTGCCTACACAGCAGTTATTTCGAGACAGAGCACTTTTCCCCCGACTTCCCTTACTTCTCATACAATGAGGGTTACAGGAGTCAGAGTAAGCAGTCCTCCAGCTCAACATTATTTTGACATTATGTCGAAATAACTGCTTGTGTGTAGACTTGCACTATGTTATTTCGAAATAACTCCAGTTATTCCAAAATAATGCTCCTGTGTGGACATAGGCTAAGAGACTTGATTAAGGTCATACAGGAAGCCTGTGATAGGGCTGGTAATTGTCCCTTAATCTCCTGAAGAGCAGAGACGTGCCTTAATGTTTTCTTGCTTTGTCCCCCACTGCAGCATCGGGGTGTGTGTGTGTGTGTGTGTGTGTGTGTGTGTGTGTGTGTGTCTGTGTGTGTGTGTCCCAACAGCGCTGGTCAATCAACTAAGTGCCAATCTGCATCTTTAGGCACCTAACTACCTTCAAGAACTGACCCTAAATCATTTTATGTACACAGTGTAAATGCAGAATCCCATTTGAATCAAGAAATATACATGTCAGGAGACAAGACTGAGATTATGTGTGCTATTCTGCACATATACAGAATTCAATTATTGGTAAGGATAAACAGACTCCTTAAAATGTTGGTGCTATCTATCATGCTTGATTTTATTTTATTTTTTTTAATACTCCAGACAGAGATATGCTCCACTACAGGTTAAAGATTTTGCATAGTTTAATCTAGCAGGTAATGTCCTGAATGAAGAAATACCATAGTTAGATCCACTACAGGTCATTCAAAATACTATTCACCCACTACAGAATACAAATCTACTCAGGTGTGAATTGTCAATGCGACTGGTAGAAATTTTTTTGTATGTTGCCCGTAATGTTACTAAGTTTCATAGTTCAAGAAATGTTAATCATTAAGGAAACCTGCATCACTTCAGGAGAATTATTGGCCCTGTTGATGTCACTAGGAATTTTTCCATTGATTTCAGTGGGACCATAATTTGACCCTTTGGTGTGTCTAGACTGTCCTGTTTTTCCGGAAAATCAGCTGTCTACACTGGCCGCTTGAATTTCCGCAAGAACACTGACTTCCTACTGTAAGAAATCAGTGCGTTTTGCGGAAATACTAGGCTGCTCCTGTTCAGGCAAAAGTCCCTTTTGCGCAAAACTTTTGCGCAAAAGGGCAGTGTAGACAGCTGAAATTTGTTTTGCGCAAAAAACCCAGAACGCGAAAATGGCGATCGGGGCTTTTTTGTGCAAAAGAGCATCTAGATTGGCCACGGACACTTTTCCGCAAAAAGTGCTTTTGCGGAAAACCGTCCGTGCCAATATAGATGCTCTTTTCCGAAAATGCTTTTAACAGAAAACTTTTCCATTAAAAGCATTTCCGGAAAATCATGCCAGTCTAGATGTAGCCATAGTGTTTATGCCAACTTTAGTCAGTGAAAATCTTATTTGTGATTGACTGAAGCAAAATAGTATTAAATGATAACGAATAAGCTACATTAACTACAACGTGGAATTATAAATAGATGTCAAGTTATTTAATTCAGTTCTTAGGACAAGTACTACTAAGAATAGTTTGATGTTTATTTTTGTCAGAATCTGTAGTATACTGGGATAGCCTCATGGGCCTCATCCTGTATATACACACTGTTCCTCTCAACAAGTCAGTGCATGGGGAAAATGCCCCAAACACGTGATATCACATTTTTAATACATGGCAACTCTTCATTAACAAGAGCAGTTAATTATTCTCAGTATTTCTTGATTTTTATTTATCATGTTGGTACAGATGCTTTCTCTCTTCTCCCTGCATTTTCTGCACAATTTCTTCTGTGAAAGTTCCCAAAGGACAAACTTAAAACAGCAAACTTTACTACCATACAAAACCCTAAGACAGTATCAAAGGGTAGAAAACACGTAGCTGTCTAATTTCAGGTTTTTTGCACAGAAACAAAGAATTTAAAATACTGTACAATAAGAGATACACAATGCTGTGCCTGTTTTAATGGAGCAGGTAGTTTATTCCAGCTTTTTGAGGTCACAGCCTGAAGAGCTAGACCTCCCACACTCAGCTTTAACTCTAGGCAGTTTAAATTAATAGACTAGGTCGAATGAAGGGCATATATCTATTCAGCTTCCAGTTTTCAGTTTTTCAGTAACAGATTTCAGATGCAGTAGATTGGAAGCTACTCAAGACCTCTGCAGCAGTAAATATCAAATAACTCTTTATCTCCTTCCTACCCTGCTCACAGACTTCAAAGCTGTCATACATTCCAGGGCTCACAACACCCAAAACTATTTTATACCTAGCCAAATGCAGAAATGGATTGTGTGTCAAAATGTACTAGCTAGAAAAAACTAAACATCCACCCTGTCACCTTGGCTCAGTCTGCAGGGCTGTTTTTACTGTTCCATCTTTGTGGACCATTTTTGATACACTCAGAAGAATATATTTCAGTGGAACAATTATGATATCCTACAGAAATAATGTACAACTGGGTTACCTATAATATGCAGGTATTGTGGAGCATATCTTCTATATACACGCTGTTCCTCTCAACAAGTCAGTGCATGGGGAAAATGCCCCAAATACGTCACATCACATTTTTAATACATGGTAATTTTTCATTAAAAAGAACAGTTAATTATTCTCATTATTTTCTTGATTTACATTTATCATGTTGGTGCAGATGCTTTCTCTCTTCTCCCAGCATTTTCTTTCCTCTGTATATTTTCTTCAATATTTTTGTACTTTTAAAATAAGAGCTGTATGTTTTAATAGTTTCTTCTGCATTTTCACTAGAACTTATTTTCAGGGGAAACCCTCCACCTCCCCCCTTAGTTTCTTATTTCCTATACTGTCCTTCCACCACTATTTTTCCTGTACTTTATGATTAAAGAAGACGTGGAAATGAGGCAGGAGTCACCCTACCAGCAATGAAGAAAGGAGCAGCTCGACGTTAGAGACAGCTCTCTTCTCTGATTACCTTCTTCTCACATGCTCTCCTATACCCTCCTTCTCTTCCCCATTCTTCCCTCTGCACTCTCTCTTCAATCCACATTTTTCTTATTTCATCTTCTCCTCTACCAGCCCCAATATTTGGCAACCACAGTAGATTTATCTCTCACAAATCCTCTCCTCTTACAAACTCCTTTGAACTCTCCTCAATATGCACTCAATTTGTCCCAGTGTTGTAATTACTCTTTGCTACTACCACACATCAGCTTCTATCGCAGAGAGACAACGCTTTTTCAAGCCATCATATTTTGTAACATGTGTAACAGGGCTTTACAGCACTAACATAAAGGGACATCCACGTGACTGGCTTCCCTGCACAAACAATCAAGCACCGCCCACTAGATTTCCCTGTTTCTGTTAAACGTATAGAGCCCTAACAGGGAATCTGTGATCGGTAGAGCTCCTTTATGGGACTATGGGAGCATTGTGGAAAATGGTGTCTGAACAGAGAAGTTAGCTCCCATTCTCATGTATTCACAGTTGCTGGCAGTGAAGATAACAAGAGCTGTGCATTTCTCTGAATATGAATTAGCCCTGTCATCAGTATAATTTTTCCCCACAGTTTTTCAGCTATCAGTATAATTCCCCACACATAATCGATACCTTGCTGATTTCAATACTTAATACTGGAAAGGCTGGGCCTTTACTGCAGTTTTGTTAAGATTCAAACTACAAACCATAAAGAGTTTGAGTACAGCAAATTATTCTCCATGTTTAAATAAATGCTTTAGTTTAGCATATACAATATGAAGAGATGATGAAGAGGAGGAGAAATTTACTGGTTAAATGTTCATGATTTAATTCTTACAAAGGCCTTCAGAGATACATGTTTACACATAAAATCAAGGTGTGTATTTTATCTCCATAAAGAAAGGATATTTTGTTACCTGTCTATATTTAGAGAATAGTATACATTTTAATCAACCTAAGCAAATGTAAAGTAAAATTCAAGATTACAGACCTGAATTTGAAAAGTGGTCTCTAATTTTCCCTGGTACAATTTTACTTATATTTAAGGCCAAATTTTCAATCCACCCTTACCTGCGCCTCCATTTTCAAAAGCACACGGACAAGGAACCATTTACACATAATTTTAGCATGTCTCACTGAGCCAGCTAAAGCACTGATTTCCATCACCTGAGATATTTAAATGACTTGAGTTATAGGTGCTAATAATTGTGGGGACAAAAAAACACTGACAACTGAAGCTTGCAAAAATGCCATTTATTTTCTGAAAATCTGTCCCTCGCAGTAACAGAAGATAAAAGCATGTGTGTTTACATGAAAATGAGGTCCAGAAGTGCAGAGGGGATGGCGCAGCAGGATCCCATATATGTGGGCAGGGAGCGAAAGCCATACAGAGGCAGCAGTGCCAGGGGCGGGGATCTGCGTATAACCATGTAATTAAAAAAAAATTATAAAGATTCATAAATGTTAAGGTTAAAAGGAAGCCTTATGACTCCCTAGTCTGACCCGCTGCATAGCACAGGCCAGAGAACTTCCTGAATGTAAATGTTCATGATTTAATTCTTACAAAGGCCTTCAGAGATACATGTTTACACATAAAATCAAGGTGTGTATTTTATCTCCATAAAGAAAGGATATTTTGTTACCTGTCTATATTTAGAGAATAGTATACATTTTAATCAACCTAAGCAAATGTAAAGTAAAATTCAAGATTACAGACCTGAATTTGAAAAGTGGTCTCTAATTTTCCCTGGTACAATTTTACTTATATTTAAGGCCAAATTTTCAATCCACCCTTACCTGCGCCTCCATTTTCAAAAGCACACGGACAAGGAACCATTTACACATAATTTTAGCATGTCTCACTGAGCCAGCTAAAGCACTGATTTCCATCACCTGAGATATTTAAATGACTTGAGTTATAGGTGCTAATAATTGTGGGGACAAAAAAACACTGACAACTGAAGCTTGCAAAAATGCCATTTATTTTCTGAAAATCTGTCCCTCGCAGTAACAGAAGATAAAAGCATGTGTGTTTACATGAAAATGAGGTCCAGAAGTGCAGAGGGGATGGCGCAGCAGGATCCCATATATGTGGGCAGGGAGCGAAAGCCATACAGAGGCAGCAGTGCCGGGGGCGGGGATCTGCGTATAACCATGTAATTAAAAAAAAATTATAAAGATTCATAAATGTTAAGGTTAAAAGGAAGCCTTATGACTCCCTAGTCTGACCCGCTGCATAGCACAGGCCAGAGAACTTCATGAATGATTCCTGCATCAGGTCCATGACTTTTGGCTGATTACTTGATTTTGTACTTGGGATTTTTTTTTCCTAATGCGTTGAGAAATAGGAAGCTCAATGGGAGTTCCAGCTGCTCAGCCTTTCAGAATAAGTTCGTTGGTGTCTCAAATTAAAAACCTGAAAATGGAGGCAACAAAAATAAGGGGACACTTTTGAAAATCTGAGATTGATTTTAGAGATGTTGACACCCGCTCTTGTCTATAAGTAAGACGTAAAGATTTTTGTCAAGGGTGCTACTTGGTAAGAACAGGTCTTTCA